TAATATTCATATTAAGTATAGGTTGGTAGCTGCCAAAGTGGCATAACCATAATAGTTGATAAATATTAATTTTAGTAATAGACATAATTACAATATTTCATGAATAATTGATGCTTATAATTTTTGTGATATTCATGAATATTGAGTTTATTTAATTATGAGAAATAATTCTCCAAATGGAATTGATTTTCAAATGATTAAATAAAAATTAAGGGGTTGTATGTATTTTTTAATTAGGTAGATATAGGATATCTAAAGATAACTTATTTGTTTAATTAAATAATGCATCACCAATGAAGGTATACATATAAATACATATAAGCATCATTATTAGTATTTTATAATTGTCACCCAAAGGGGTACTATAGTTATGCATTGTATTTATATTTTTAAGTTATACATACGTGTTGTTAACTCAAAGCATTATTGTTGTGAGCATTTTATCTTATTATGTTTGTTTTATTACATCCCAGAATTCGCATGCTACATTTGTTCTGATTTTCAATAGGACTAACTTCTCATAATGGAATGAGTAAGTTAAGTTCATAATTTAGGTGTGCTAAATCTTAATTTAGCATTTTAAATTGAGAAACCTGCTGTTATTACTGATAAATACAGTGAGAAAGAAAAGATACTCCATAAAGGTTGGGAGAAATCGAGCAGATTAAGCATTATGGTTATGCGAATAATTGTTCCCTATAGTGATAGTGGTAAGGAATATTTGACAAGAAAAATGTTTTCGTATTATAGATAAATTTCTAAAACAAAAATTATTAATTTATATCACTACTATATATGCATTTTTGTTGGTACTCTTACCATTTTTGGATATGTTCTTAAGATGGCTAATGCTGTTACAAAATTAAGAACCTTAGGGATAATTGTGGATAAGAATTTTCTTATTCAATTTATTTTTAATTTTTTGTCTACTTAGTATGGGTCATTTCGAATTAATACTATTAAGATAAGTGAAAAGTGAAAGAATTGATCATTATGTTAATTTAGGAGGAAACAAGGCTTAAGTAGTAAGGTAATCATTATGATCATCTGATTACTCAAGAAGATATAAATAAATTTTGGGAATAAGTCTGAAAAAACATTAAGTGAGTAACACCCAAAATTAAAAGATTTAGGTTAATCTATTAAAAGAAAGGAATGTAATAATGAAAAAGTGTCATTAATGTATTGAACACTTTTAGAAAGATTACATGAAATTTAAAGAATGATTTGAAAAAGAATGGTAAACTTTTGGCTTTTGTATATTTCGAATTACTTATTGAAATTCTTTCTAATACATGATAGGTTGACTTAAGTACTAATGTTTATATTTCTAATAGATGCAAGAATTTCTTATGGCCTAAACCACAAATTCAAATAAGAATTTCTTATTTATGATCATTGGAAAAAAGTTTTGTTTAACTAATTGTGACATTATGTTTAACGTTAGACAATGGATTTTATTTAAATTATTTTAAACTCTTTATGTTTATTCAATTTCCTATAATTTGATTTTATTTCAAAACTTTATGTTAATGATTTTTCCTTTAAGTTTGATAATGATGTTTATTCAAGAAATTTTAATTTGTGAGTTATAGTATTATTGTTTATGATTTCTATAAATTCAAATTTGATAGTTTATTTATTAAAACCCTTTTGACCTTGCATTATAATGTTAGAATTAAGCGTAATTCAATTAATGAAAATTCATTTATCTTGTGGCATAAAAGACTAGATAATATTCAATGAAAGGTTAGGAAAATTAGTAAATGATGTGATTCTTCCGTATCTAAACTTTACTGATTTTGGTGTGTGTAGATTGTTTTAAGGGTAAACAAACCAAATATACAAAGAAATGAGGCACAAGAAGTACAGAGTTTCTTGAAATTATTCATATAGACATTTTTAGACCTTCTGATGTTCCATCTTTTGGTGGAGAAAAATATTTTATCATCTTTATAGTTGATTTTTTCACGTTATGGATATATATATTTGTTGGATGAAAAATCTCAAGCAGTGGATACTCTTGAAGTATACATAAATGAGGTTGAAAACAACTAAATAGAAAAGTGAAAATCATACAGTCATGTAGAAGTGGTGAATATTATGAAGGTATGATGAAACGGGTTAATAATCTAATCGTTTGCTAAACTCCTTGAAATGTATGGCATTTGTGCTCAATACACTTTTCTATACATGCCACAGCAGAAGCGTGTAGCTGAAAGGTGTAATCGTACTCTTATGGATGTAGCTAGGAGTATATTAAGTAATTTCTTGTTACCCATAATCTAAAGGGTACAAGTTTTACTATCCTAAATATAGTACAAGAATTGTTGAAACCGAAAATGTCAAATTCATTGAGAATGGTGAAGTCAGTGGGAGTAATAAAAATAAGAATGTGATCATTCAAGAAGTTAAGGTATAAATTTCTTTACCCATAACTTCTAAGGAAATAATTGTTCTTTTAGTTGTTAAACCGTATAACAATGAAAAACAATTGAATGATCAACAACTCCATAATAAGATTGTTATCAATGAATAAATTGTAGAAGAATCATAAGGAATAACATTAAAACGATCTCAAAGAGAAGGAGATCTGCTATTCTGGATGACTATATGATATATCTGCAAGAATCTGATTTTGATCTATAGTGAGATATATGCGGATCCAGTTACATATTCACAATGCATTAACAGTAATTATTTTACTAAATGGATTAGCGCCACGAATGAAGAAATTATAAAGAAACCTTCTCTACAGTACTTATGAAGGATTCTCTTAAAATATCATGGCATTAGTAACTTATTATGATTTAGAGTTACATCAAATGGATGTGAATACAACTTTTATTAATGGGAGTTTATAAGAGAAAGTCCATATGGAACAACCTAAAGGTTTCACATTAAAAGATAAATAATTCATATTCTATAAACTTAAGATATTAATATATGGATTTAAACAAATTTCTTAACAATGGTATATTAAGTTTAATGATACTTGTCGGGGGAGAAATCCACGCAGTCCGATACGACACAGTTTTCCTGCAAAGAAGAGAGTAAAAGATCGATGAATCTTGACGGCACCGGTGTGGTGCCTGCCAAGAGCTCTCCAACGATCAAATCAGTCACCAGAGGTTTAAAAGAAAGGCAGGGATTTAATAATAATTTTTTGTCATACCTTTATTGATTGGTAGGATCTCATTCTTATAGTCATTCTCCCTCAGTTCATTTGCGGGATCAGAGGAGATCCGCTTGTGCGAGATCAAAGGAGATCCGTTTGTTACCAGATTTGTTGGGGATATGATTTACCCCTTTGACTTCCTCAAATTGTGCTAAGATTATCCTTACCCTATTGAACCAAGTCATCTTTCATTATCCTTCATAATGAAATATTATCATTCTTATCCAATGAAAATATCATCGTTCGAAAGTCAAAGAGATCTGGCGGCTGGTCAACACTTAATTGCCTCTATCGTTAGGTCAAGGTAGGTTAGGTTTATGTTTCTTTATTAATACCATTATTCATTTTGGTTTTAAGTAAAACATTATTAATCAGCGTATATACTATAAGGTTAGTGAAAGTAAATTTATATTTCTGATTCTATATATATTGATAATATTTTGTTTGGTAGTAGTGATCTTAGTTTATTATATGAAACTAGAAGTTATCTCTAAGAACTTTGAAATGAAATATATGGATGAGGTATTTTATGTGATAGAAATAGATCACGTGAATTTTTAGGATTATCTCAGAAAGCATATATTGAAAGAGTTTTAGAAAGATTTGATATGGAACATTATTCAACCAGTATTGATCCATACATAAAAAGGATAAATTCAGCCTATGCAATCCCAAAGAATGAGTTAGCCGGAAGGTAAAGAAACGAAAAATATTCTTTATACATATATTGTGGAGTTTGATGTATATACAAGTTGGTAGGTTATAAAAGATTATATGTTCACACTTAGAAAGACATTTTTATGAATATGTGGATAATTATTAATTCATAATTGGTTATTTGTTCCTTTTGGTTGGAGGAACAATATTATGAAAAGTATAAAGTAATTTATTATTACTTTGTCTATTATGAAATTTTAATTTGTAACATGCTTTAAGGTTACAATTTATGGTTGCAAAATTTATTTCAGGACTTGGAATTATGAGTAATATTTTCAGATTGCTGAAAATTTATGCTGAAATTATTGATCTTCTTGTATGAAAAATGATAGGTATTCTAAAGTTGGAATACTTTATCATTAAGGAAGATGTCTAGAAATAACGAATGTCTATTGAACATATAAGCACACAACTTATGATTGCAATTCATTAACGAATCGACTACCACCTAAGACATTTATAAAACATGTTGAAAGAATGGGTCTTGAATGTAGTCAATGATGATTATTTTTAATTGTGGATTGCTTAACATTGCTTATATATATTTGACGTTTTGCGCTGATTAAATGTGTTTATGATATTTCCTATTAATTAATGTACATGTACGTATTGCTTTAATAAATGGTAATAGGAATAGTCTTGGAAAAGACATTATTGTTAGATCATTATTGATACTTTTCATTTATAGACTATGTTGAATAGGTTAGCAGTGTTGTGGTACATGGAAGAGACTGTGTCATTCATTTAGGGATATATAATCGCCATGACTCGCATTGGTAGTTTATTTACCATGGTATTTATGATGACCAAGTTAATGAGTCAATCTGATTTATGGTGCACACTAATAACTATTTTACTAAATCACTACAGAAGTTATCATATGGGTCAAGTGAGAGACTGTAAGATATTTTCTTATATTTGTGAATCACATAATTTGGACACGTGATTTACTTTTATTATTTGGTGGTTAAATAAAATAGATATCATATTAATATAATATTATTTGGTCAACTTATAAATTACCTTTTTGGTAATTAATTATTGGAGAAATGTTTTTCTATTTATTCCTTACTTTGATGGAAAATGGAATTAAAGTTACTAAAAGGAAAACTAATCATCTTTCTACATTTATAAAAGTGCATATTCCCATCAGTTATGTACGCTAATGAAAATAACACGTACAATGTTTATGTGTACAAAAGGTCAAGAAAGAGAAACTAGTTTCCACATACTTTGACTTACAATTTATCACGTTATTCGTTCCGCAGAAAGGATTTCGACATTTACTTTGATATTTACGATATTTATAATTACAGACTAAGATATTTATATCTAATTATTTATTTATGCATTATACGTATATGAGAATAAAGAAATTTTAAGATTTGAAATTCATATTTATCTATAATTAATGATTCGCGCGAATAATAATTAAAGTTTACAACTATTCGTAACCACGTCAACAAGACAGCAACAGCGAGCATACGGCAGCACAACTGCACCACACAACAGAACCATCCAGATTTGATTACTACTATTTCAGTCAATATATATATATATATATAAATATAGCATATACATAGATAGAGAACATACCACTCACACATATCCACAACCGCGTCAACGAGACAGCAACAGAATAAGGCAGCACAACTGCACCACACAACAGAATCATCCAGATTTGATTACTACTATTTCAGTCAATATATATATATATATATATAGCATATACATAGATAGAGAACGTACCAATTCTGGGGATTTGCTTCACCATTTCTCATCATATGACCAGCCGGCGGTGGAGCCACATAAGGACCTTGTGGGTACCCCTCAACCGGTGCAGTAGTTGCTGGAAAAGGACATGCTTCTGTCAAATTCAACCAACAACATACAATCATATATATATATATATATATATATATATATATATATATATACTAGTACCAACCCTGCAATATATATAAGAAATGAAAGGTATAAATAAATTATATACCTTGAGGCTTGTTTTGATCGTAGTGATTCATATTGAGAATTACAAACTTAAAAGTATATGGAACTAGTAGCTGATATGAGAGAGAGAAGTGTATATGGAACTGGTAGATGATATGAGAGAGAGAAGTAAGTCAGGAGAAGATGGATGAAGGAATTAGATACCATGGTCTGTATAGTGTCTATATATAGGCATTGAACAGTGTCTATGTTTCCAGGAACCTGCTTTGAAAAAAAAAAAAAAAAAAAAAGATATGGACACGTGTTACATTACGGGGGTGGATGAGGAGATTATAAAGGAAAGTAACAAACTAATCAATTGAATTAATACGTGTCCTTTCCTTTCTGTTTCAATTGAATTAACACGTGTTAATTCAATTACAAATACATTAGACTATTTATCATTTTTCGTTAGAAAAATATTAAAATACCATTAACATTAACTGTCAGCTTTGGTCCGATAGTTGATTATAAAATGCTGCTTTTGAAATGCAGTTAGTTAAGCACTGTGGCAGTATTATTGTCAATAGAAAAACAAAGAAAAAATATATATACATACACAGTAGTGTTCAATTGTTTCTCTAAGAGTAAGAAATTATATACTTACTTTTAATTATACTTTTAATTTTAAGATCTAATCCTAAGGCAATTAATTAATTGACTTTTATTTTCTTTATTTTAAGAAACTTACATTTTCTTTCCATACTATTAAATATCGTTAAAGAAAAATAACAAAATTAGATAATTTATTAAAGGAAATAACAATAAAATAATTTTGCTACTTTTTGCCAAATTCGTAAGCAGCCACTGAGATGAAGTAAAATTAATCTAAAATTAAAACTCATCATTTTAATTTTTTTTTTCCACACTTTATCAATTCTATTGACAAATTATGAAAAAACTTAGGATTTGCAATGATATTATACATATTTTGGTATGTTTTTACCGATCAACACTTTGACCATTTAATTTACCCAAAAAAAAAAAAAAATAGTGAGAACATTTAGATAGATATATAATAATATATTAAGAGTTGTTTTGCAAGATCTTTCTAAAAAATTTATGAAGCTAATAGTAGTCTCCTAATTCTAAATTAGTTGCTGAACAAATTCAAAATATATTTTTAAGTTGAGTATAAAACATAAATCAATCTTGAAATTTGAGTTTTCATTATCATCAATGCTTCTCAAGCAATCTTTATTTAATGGCCATTTTATTTATCTCTTTTGATTAACTATATTTGGTTTATGTTGTTGTTTGTAAATTTGTACTGATGGGGAAGTGATTAGAAATCCACACAAGAAAGTAGCCAATTTATTTTATTTTTGTTTCCTTTAATAAATTGTCTAATTCTGTCATTTTTCTTTAACGCTATTTAATGGTATAGAAAGAAAATGTAAGTTTGTTAAAATTAAGAAAATAAAAGTCAATTAACTAATTGCCATAGGATTAGATCCTAAGGTTACAATTAAATGTGAGTATATATAAGTTCTTGCTCCCTAATTCTGTCATTTTTCTTTAACGCTATTTAATGGTATAGAAAGAAAATGTAAGTTTGTTAAAATTAAGAAAATAAAAGTCAATTAACTAATTGTCGTATGATTAGATTTTAAGGTTACAATTAAAGGTGAGTATATAAGTTCTTGCTCCCTGGGAGCAATTGAACACTATTGTATGTATGTATATGTATATATATATATATAGAAGAGAGAGATTGGCGTGAGTGAAGCAATTAAACGTGCATTAGCTAATTAATAAGGCGAGGGGTTACCATTAAAACCAAAGAAGGCGTAATAACGGTGATTTTAGCAAATTTCAATCAATTAATCAAGGTCGGTAAGACTGTAATTCTTGTTTTGGAAACTAAATCAAAGAGTATTGCTAATTGTCATAGTTTAAGAAGATTACTGCTAATTTTTGTTGGTTTACATACATTCTTATCAAAAAATCTTATATAAGTGTAATTATTCCATCACCATTATATTTTTCTCTTTTCCTTTTCTAAATCATTCACTTCAATAATTTAAAAATAACAAAATTCAATTATACAGCTTTACTTCAACTAAAATTCAATAAATGTGATTATGTCATCACCACTCTACATTTCTCTCCCCCTCCCTCTTTACTAAACCATTCACTTTTATCTTTTACAAATAAACTAAAACTAAATTATACAGTTTTACATCAAAAAAAATATAATTCTATAATTTACTTCAACTAAAATTTAGGGTCATAAAAATTCATATCTAAAGTATAAATAAATAATTTTTAATATATATAGAATCCATCATCAATAAAAAGACTATTGAAAAAAAAAAAAGGGAAAAAATGAACATTCCGTTTAAAGACAATTCAAAAAAAAAAAAAAGAAGAAGAAGAAGAAGAAAAGAAGGAAAGAAAGAAAGAAAGAAATAAAATAATGCAAATAATGCATTGACAAATGATTAGCTATATACCGTATATGTTTTATATATAGACACGGAAGAGGAGAGACAATAATTGTCAATACACAAAATGGGTAATATTGTCTTATAAAATAAGATTTTAATATTTCATAAAAATAGAAATAGTGTATTAGTTATAGTTACATTTTTAACCATCACATACTTTTTTAAAATTGTTATGGAACTTAGATAATGATAGCAAAATTAAAAATGAGATAAATGAAAGCTATTCAGAATAAAATTGCTATGGAACTTAGATAAATATTTTTTTAAAATTCCACTTTGTTGTACTAGCTATGAGATGAAATTAATATCTAACTTTTTTTAAGCAAGTTATTGTTCTTATATATGGCATTTTTTATAATTAAATAATGCTGAATGGGTTACTAGGGTGTTTAGGAAACATTGTTACTTTAAAATAGTTTTTTTTTTTTTTTTTTTTTTTTATTTTTTATTTTTTTTAAAAGAAAAGAAAATACATTCTCTTTCAGTATTAAAAGCTCTTATATTTTGGCTTACCCTTTCTCTTTTTTTTGGAAATAATTTTTGTAAGGGTGACTTTAGCTAAGAGAAAATAGGATGTGTTTGTAAAGTTGGTGTAGAGTAGTAATTGTCATTTGCAAATGGTGTTTTATTTCATGGCTTGAAAAGTCAATTTCCCAACACATTGGGTTACATTTGACTGATTTGAAATATAAGTTTGTATATTTAATCTATGTTTATTTATTTAATTACAATAAATAAAATTAATAATTATAAAAGAGAATGCACAGTAACAACTTCCTAAACAAAACCATTATTAATATTATCACTGTGGAGGGAAAAAAACTCCCTCCAATAAAAAGCGAACACGTCACCACTATCCATATCTACATTCCAAGGACATATAAGGCCCATCATGCTCAAGCCCAAGTTGAGGGTATTTACAGCCCAAGACCATTGTTATTTGTCCTCCAACTTCCATCAAGGCCGAATCAAGAAGTCATCGACCCAGCTTATGAGTATTTAACATCCGGCCTGTTACTCAAGCCCAGCCGGATCAAAATATATTCAGCCCAAGAATGCACAAGTCCTACCATTTAAAGGATTTATCGTAGAAGGAAAATTTTGATAGGAAGTTCTGTACAAGGCAAGTTCTATGTATGAAAAATGCGACAATGGAAAGAACTCTATTAGAAAAGAATGATTATATAGAAAGAATTGGAGGGCAAGCAAGGCGAGTCCTACCATAATTTTGCAATCTTTTGTGTATAAATAGAGGCTAAGACCTCCAATAAAGGAGCAAGCAATTCTACGCTTCTCTACACACTGTTCTTATTTATTTTTATTGTTTTTGAGTGAGTTATTTTATTTTTCTCAATCATTATTGGTTGAGCGAAATTTTGCACCTACACTTTGGCGCCGTCTGTGGGAAGCGTATAAAAATATACTCCCATTTGTTCTTCAAATTAAATCCTTTAGTCGTGTCTGGAATGTCAAACGGAGAGTCAGCAATGAATCAACAGATAGAATTGATGCAAAAGATGCGAGAAGAGTTCTTGCACGAATTTGAGACACTCCGGCAAGCAAACGATACGAGTGTCGCCCAGATAGCTGCGCTTCAGCAGCAGACTCATACGCTGCACACGGCCATGGCCAGGCTAACGCCACAACCACCACCAGGCGATGTTGCGGCACCACCCCCCACCCGGAATTTACCTCCGGTTCACGAGCCTCCAGCCAACGAGACACCACCCAACGGGGCTCGACCTAGTGAGGTTCAGCAAAAGCAAGGGACGAGGTCCGAGGCGGTTGCTTCGGATAATCTCCCGCATCGCACACAGGACGAACAGGCCGAGTCCAGCCATAGGCTTACGGTATGGTCCAATGGCGTTCCAGATGGCGCACGTGTACAAGATGCCTTCGACGAAAAGAAACTCTTGAGAGTCCAGACACCAGCCGAGATGGCTAGAGAGCACAAGAACTCCTTGGTCAAGACCCCCTTTACTGACGAGGTGTACCTTGTGGAGAGGCCGAAGAAGTTCACTATGCCATCCTTCACCCAGTTCGATGGGGCAGGAGACCCCTCTCGGCATCTCGATCATTATGCGCAAAAGATGGCACTGGACTATCATAACGATCCGTGGATGTGTAAGGTTTTTCCTACCAGTTTAACCGGAGCAGCGTTAGAATGGTTCAGGAATAGGCCACACAAGTCTATCCCTGACTATGAGACCTTGTGCACTATGTTCTTAGCCCAGTATTGCGGAAATAAGAAGCAGAAGAAAAGTATCCCCAGCCTTTTCACCATAAGGCAAAGGAAGGGAGAAACTCTGCAAGATTTTTTATCCAGGTTTAACATGGAGGCCTCGGAGATAGCAGATTGTCATCCTGCCACGGCAATTGAAACATTTAAGTTGGCAATGATCCAGGGAACCAAGTTTCACACATCCTTGGTCAAATATTCCCCCCCGGATATGCAGACTTTGAACGCTAGGGCACAAATCTACATCCGGTTGGAGGAAAACGTAGCCCACCATGCATAGCACGCTACCCTCGTCATAGTGGAAAACAAGTCTCGAGAGAAAGCTGTGAGCATAAGGATGCAGAAGGTCCTCCATACCGCCACACAAGTCACCCAAGCGTCTGAGAAAAGGCGAAGGACAGAGGACAGGCTTACCCCTCTCCGTACTACATTGGCGCGCCTATTCCAAGAGAATAAGACGAGGTTCGCGACTCCTCAGCCCATGAAACAACCCTTGG